TTCATGCATTTGATGATCAATCTCCATGGGCTTTTCTGCTCTGCATGAAAAATATAATAGTGACCATCAGAATAAGATTTCGAATAGTAGAGGATTGTTTGTTGAATTCATACATTTCATAGGTTGCTAAAAGAGCAGAAACCCTGGGTTTTACAACTAAAATTTTTGTCCATTTTATCAGAACTATATATTCATACAATTTTTCATAATTAAGAAATTGAGCAACTAGACTTTCAGCCTCCATAAGATATGCAACCAATGTATTTAAGAGAAAAGGGCATAATGTGGACACGCTTTTATCTGAAATGTGATTTATTTTTTTCCAGTTGTAAATAAATCATGTTTGATTTTCCCTTTGATGTTGCCTTGAATGTTTGTCGGATATAATCATTTTCACAGCGACCAAAGCGGATATTTATTTATTTATTTAAATTTTATCTTCAATACATCTCATCACGTGCAAGCTAAATACATTAGGCAACAGGACTTGGCCTCAGAACCACTTCTTGTTCTATTGCCATGTCCATTTGTTCAAGTTTTGAGTGTGAACTTGATGCCTCCATGTAATATAACTATGTTGTGCTGACTGACCCGGTAATTGATTGGTTGATGAATATTACTGGAAGATATTTGTTTCTTTTTTCCTTACCATCGACTTGAAGGATAAGAGATAGGTCCTACTTCCATAGGATCAATGTTGCTAACACTAACTGAATCATGGAATAGCATGTTTACACTTTCNNNNCATGGAATAGCATGTTTACACTTTCAGCACCAAGAATTGATAATCTACCTGGAAAACACCTATCCTTGTCTGCTGAACTTATGGTGGCCCTTAACCCTTCACAAAACCCACATCCACTTACACAGCTGTTAGGATATCCCACTATATGAAGTTGCTTTATGCTTTTAGCCCATCGGTGTATAATGCGTATGGTAGTTTACGTGACAGATCCTTGCAAAATCTGCTTTCTTTTAGTCAAAATTAAGATTTTTTACTTTCTTGATTGTAAATGTATGGCAAGTTGAGATTGTAATTTTGTTTTAATAACTTCGATGTTGACTCGTTATGGTTAGGAGCTTGATATGGATATTTTATGGACCCTACTTGTTCTGATTTTCAGATAAACAAGCATTAGAAACTTTTTGAAATTTTCTATGTTACAATCTATGATGCTCGGACTCGGGTACGGGTACGTATCTAAATATCGAATCTTTTATTTTCTAAAATGTAGAATACGAGGAAATGGCTAAAAAGAGTGCAAATTTTGGATATGGGTACGTGGATGTATCTTTCAAACTTCAATTTTTTTATTAATCCAGGATGTCAATTTTTTCACAAACAGTCGCTGAAGTTATCTGAAAATCACAAAATGGTTACTGAAATTTAAAACTTGCAGAAACGGTCACTTAAGTATAAATTTCTTTCACAAACGATCACTGAATTTTTAGATTTTTTGGGCAAGTTTTGCTGTGATTTTCCGGCAACTTCCGACCACTAAGACCGTTGGAATTTGGATGCCGTTAAAAAGTCCATAATGTCCTCTTCAATTATCACCAAAAATCTCCCCATAACTCAAAGGGATTTGGTCGAAATATATCCACGAAGTCGGTTACCGAAAAATCTGGAAATCTGTCCAGATTTTTTGGGCGAGTTTGCGGCAATTTTTCGGCAACTTCTGACCACCAATACCGCCGGTTTTGGATACCGTTGGAAAGTCCACAATGTCATTTTCAATTACCACGAAAAATCTCCCCATAACTCTAACGGATTCGGCCGAAATAAACCCACGAAGTCAGCTACCCAAANCATGGAATAGCATGTTTACACTTTCCACACCAAGAATTGATAATCTACCTGGAAAACACATATCCTTGTCTGCTGAACTTATGGTGCCCCTTAACCCTTCACAAAACCCACATCCACTTGCACAGCTGTTAGGATATCCCACTATAGGAAGTTGCTTTATGCTTTTAGCCCATCGGTGTATAATGCGTATGGTAGTTTATGTGACAGATCCTTGCAAAATCTGCTTTCTTTTAGTCAAAATTAAGATTTTTTACTTTCTTGATTGTAAATGTATGGCAAGTTGAGATTGTAATTTTGTTTTAATAACAACGATGTTGACTCGTTATGGTTAGGAGCATGATATGGATGTTTTATGGATCCTACTTGTTCTTATTTTCAGATAAACAAGCATTAGAAACTTTTTGAAATTTTCTATGTTACAATCTATGATGCTCAGACTCGGGTACGGGTACGTATCTATCTTTTATTTTCTAAAATGTAGAATATGGGGAAATGGCTAAAAAGAGTGCAAATTTTGGATATGGGTACGTGGATATATCTTTCAAACTTCAATTTTTTTATCAATCCAGGATGTCAATATTTTTCACAAACCGTCACTGAAGTTATTTGAAAATCACAAAATGGTCACTGAAGTTTAAAACTTGCAGAAACGATCACTTAAGTATAAATTTCTTTCACAAACGGTCACTGAATTTTTAGATTTTTTGGGCAAGTTTTGCTGCGATTTTCAGGCAACTTCCGACCACTAAGACCGTTGGAATTTGGATGCCGTTAGAAAGCCCACAATGTCCTCTTCAATTATCACCAAAAATTTACCCATAACTTCAAGGGATTCGGTCGAAATATACCCACGAAGTCGGTTATCGAAAAATCTAAAAATCTGTCCAGATTTTTTAGGCGAGTTTGCGGTAATTTTTCGGCAACTTCCGACTACTAATACCGCCGGTTTTAGATACCATTGGAAAATCCACAATGTCATCTTCAATTATCACGAAAAATCTCCCCATAACTCTAACGGATTCGGCCGAAATAAACTCATGAAGTCAGCTACCCAAACTGGGCAGATTTTCAGAATTTTTTTGTAGCTGACTTCGTGAGTTTATTCTGGCCGCATCCTTTGGAGTTATGAGGATATTTTTGGTGATAATTGAAAAGGACATTGTTGGCTTTCCAACCGTATCCGAAACCAGCGGTATTAGTGGTCGGAAGTTGTCGAAAAATAGTCGCAAACTCGCCCAAAAAAATCATAAAATCTGGGCAGATAATTTAAGATTTTTCGGTTGCTAACTTCGTAGGTATATTTCGGCCGAATTCATTGGAGTTATGAGGAGATTTTTTGTGGTAA